GCATGGGTTGCACTGGAAGTGGTTGATTGGCGTTACCATTAAATTCCAAGCAGTTTTCCATGGGGTTACAAATGTAAACTTCCCGAACCATGACATGCTCTAGGAAACACTCTTTATCCCTCCCTTCTGCAATCTTTCAGCACACTTGGCACATTTTTGAGGGTCCTGCTCCAGTCTAGCAGAGTCTTTATGTACATGAGTAATATTCCGCATGGTTTCCTAGACCGTGTTTCACAAGTGTGACCAGGAAAGCCACTTGTCAAGGATACTTAGCATAGGGCAGCACAAGGAGGAGGTGCATTCGTTAATCAGCTCGAATGACTGCCTTGTCCCTCTCTGATGTTCTGCCCTCCCCTCCTCCCGGTGTCCATGGTGCGGTGTGTGCACTGCTTGCAGGGTGTCTGCAGGTCTCTCCTCTGCTACTGTGCTGCGTTGTTAGCTGTGCCTCTCTGTAAATCCCCTCATTTTCCCATGTTAGAATGTGGGCAAGCAAGCATAAATTTTCTTTCCACATGGCAACTTAGTCTTTATATAATTTCCAATTAAACATATTCTCAGAAAAGCTTTGGCGAGATTTAACAGTCCTAACCACATAAATATCATGGGGCCCCTCGGTTTTACAGCTGAGCCTTGGGCAGGGTCAAGAGCATCCAGGGAAAGCCCTGTAAGGCTCATCCACATTGTCCTATTCACTGTGCTCTTGCTTAGGAATTTACTCCATGTAAAGTTGTCGCTTTTAGTGGCAGTTTCAGTATACATTTAGTTTTACCACTTTGAAGTATTCAGTGAGTTTTACAGAAATTGCACAGAAAACCATTCTGTTGTAGCAGAAAGTGTCCCTCCAGCCAGTATACTTTAATTTGTTAGCTGCCCAGGTGATCGCTCCTGTTCTAGTTCCAGTTGTTCTTGTATTTTAGAAATGGCTGGTCACTGTGATACACATTGTATAAACCAGTTCCCAGTGGACAAGCTATTCTGCCTCCGTACTTCTGCTTCCTTATCCCACGTAAGCACTAGGCCATCGAAGATCAGGGCCGGATATTTTCAGAGTGATCCCAGTCAGTGCCCATTGACATAAATAAGTCTGCCTCCAAATCCTAGGTGTTTTTCAGTGTTTCTGCTTGCTGTTGCATCGTGTGTTTTCTTTGTCTCACTATGTTTTGTCCAGGCTGGTATTTCTGTCAGGTCAAAGTGGTTGCATCTCAATTCCTGTATCCAGATGGTTGAAGTTTTTGCAAATTTACTTCTTCATACATGTGAAAGGAATCCCATTTCTCTCCAGAAACAACACATGGGTTTTCTCAAATTGGAGTAAACTCAGTGGTGTGGACTTTGGAGTATGCCCATGCAGAGGATGTGGCTGTGGACTGTGCCACGGGATCCTTCATTTTCTCACAGGTCTCCTTCCTAGCTGTGTCTAGCACCACCTATTTCCTCGGACTGGGGCATGGATCTTCTTTTCTTGTTGGTATTTTCTCTTGTGGTTTATATGTTTCACCTTTATTTCTGATGCGTTCATTTTTACTTGGTATACAAATTCTTTCTGCATACACTGCCTGTATTTTTTTTCATTTTTTGACTCTTTTACCTCCCAGGACTTACAGAGGTTTCCATTTTTCCCTCTCATTCTGATAGCTTCATGCTTTTCTTCTGGGGAAGTGCTTTTTCACGTTCAAAAGATGCTTTACAGCAAGTTCATATTTCCCCTTTAAGAGGTAATATAGTTATCACACAGGGCATATGAAGACTAAAATATGGTTCTCCCTGCCCACTATAATCAACACATAGTGATTTGTGCCCCTTTGTGCCATAATAACCCTATCATGAAACAGTATTCTTTTATGGGCTGTATGTGCATGTCTCCCACAGACCTCCTGTGCTCCAGGTGGTGCTTTTCGTACATGGCAGGATCCACATACGGTGCTGGGATTTGTTTCACGGTGTGATGCTAGGATTAAGGGTGTGAATGCTATCACCATGGCTACAATATCAGGGGTAGAAAGAGGGTTGTTCTCAGTCACTGCATGCTGCTTACTGCTTTTGCTGCCTTCTGCCTGCCGTGGGCTGTGTCTCCTCTGTGATGCCCCTCTGCCTCGCCACCCGGCCTTGGAGCCACCATGCACTGAAATCTCTACAACTCTGAGCCAAAGTAACTCTTTCCAACCCTAAGCTAAAGTAACTCTTTCCTCCCTGACTTTGTGTGCTGGGTATTTTGTCTCAGCAGTGAGAAAACAAAATATCTAAGACATACTCTGTTTACCTTTGAGCCCACTGAAGACTGTCTTCCTTCTCTGTGGTCTGTCTGTTATTCTCTCCACTAATAGAGCAGGGTCCTTCAGAGTGCATTTTGAAAGTCTGTGTCTTAAAGAAGCTGACACATTTGTAGGTATGTTTGGTACTGAAGAGATTTTTTCAATTTTCCTTTCATTATTAGCGCCGGTAAAGTTCGCAGAGTATTAGTGATCAGTACATTTTATAGGTATTTTCTCGATATCCATCCCCCCATTTCTCTCCCTCATGTCACCCTTCAGGTCAGTGAGCCATAGGATAATATGGCTTCCTTTATCAAATTTCACAGACCTTAGACATTCTCTGGTAGAAACTGTAATGCCTTCTTTAGCTTTCCAAATTATCATTCATCAATTTTCCTTAGTGTTCGATGAAGGCTTTGTCTATGAAAGCAGGTTGAGGTTTCAAAATACTGTGTAAACAGTCAGAGAAGGAAGAGAAGGAATCAATTCCCTAAATAAGTTCCAAACAAAGGTGTTTTGTTTGATCCCTCAGAGTAATTCATTCAATATTTTTCTATTACTTTTTTGTTGAATTCTGATTTATAGGCTCCTTCTGTGTTGCTTTAGTGACTTTGTAAAAGTTTCCCTGGGTTTAACCAGCAGGAGAAGCAGAGCTCTCACTCCACTGTTGCTTTAACGCTGAATTCCAGTGGAGATTCAAACTTCCTGTGTGATGAGTGGAAGGGGATGTAGAATAAGTGACGACCAAGGTAGCAAGTAGACATTTGGAAAACTCAGCCTCATATGAGCTTTTTGTGAATAGAGTTGAGGTGTTTCATGTTGTGACTCTCACTCTTCTTCCTGGAAATGCCTGTCTGGTGATGTAGGAGGCCGTGACCTTCAAGGATGTGGCTGTGAACTTCTCCAGGGAGGAGTGGGCTTTGCTGGATCCATCCCAGAAGAAGCTCTACAGAGATGTGATGTGGGAAACCGTTAGGAACCTGGCCGCCATCGGTAAGTACGACGCCGTTCTCTCATTTATACAGTCAAAGAGAATTCACTGGTGCTCACCAGTGCGGTTTGCTTAATGGGAAGATGGAAACATTATAAAGTGTCTTCCAGGCATGCTCATATTGTTCCAGGAATCTAACTGGACTTTATTTACTTATCTATATGTACTAGGTCATCATTATTTTTCTTTTTCTATGCTTTAGGAAAGAACGCAGATGACCAGCAAATTGAAGATAAGTACAGAGATTTCAGGAAACATGTAAGGTAATTTTTACTCAGAGGAGAAAATTCCTCAAGCGTCAGAATATTACAACCTAAGGAAAGTATGCAAGCAAGACCGTGTTCAAACTGTAATCTCACAATATTTCTCAATGACATATATGCATTGACTGTCACTAATCTGGTAATTGAGTACTTGAAATATTCCAGTATGTCAAATGTAGGCTGTACTCATATTATGTCAGAGCTCCCACTCCACTGTTGCTTTAGCACTGAATTCCAGTGTAGATTCAAACCAGAACTGACATTGTTCAGGTAATGTAATAGAAAAAACAGCGGCACGAGTTGGTTGCCACCTCTAATCCCAGCACTCTGGAGGCTGAGACAGGAAAAGTATCACAGGTTCCAGGCCAGACTGGGCCACATAGTAAGTTTAAAGCCGGCCTTAACTACAGAGTGAGACCCTGTCAGAAATTTTTTTTTAAAAGTACACATTATGTTGCATGCTCAGATTTATAGACATGTTGAATGAAATTGCATTCAGGCAGTGAGGACAGGATTATATAAACTAAAGTTTGTGTGTACACTTAGAGCTAACTTCAGTTATATGTACATGTTTTTAAAGGACCACTTTCATTTCAAACAAATTATGCATGATATTGTATGTAGTTAAATGTGATATACACATTCTGTGTTTCAGAAATTGCTAATGCTCTAGATGTTGTCAAAATCCAAACAAGTACCACTGTTTTGATCACATTTATTTCCAAGCAGTCCTCTAAAACTCAGTCCATGCGTGTTCCAGAATATTAGAAGCCACATCCCCATTTATTGTTGGGACTAGCAGTGTGCTGTAACATACAGGAAATGTATATAGAGATTCCACAGAGAAAAAAAATGGACATTCTTTTTTTTTTTTTTTTTTCCAGTACTGGGAATCGAACTCACAACCTCACGCTTGCCAGGCAGGCACTGTGCCGCTGAGCTAAATCCCCAGCCCTTAGACATTCTGTTTTATGCAACTATACTTTTATTTTGAGACAGGGTCTCACTCTGAAGCTTAGGCTGGCCTGAAACTCACAGTGATACTGCTGCCTCAACCTCCTGAGTGACGGGATAACAGGCGTGCACCACCACCCCAGCCATATTCTGACTACGCTTTTACTGTGTATATTCCCACAATATTAAAGTAATCATATTACAGTGGTACTTAAATACCCATTTGTAGCAGCACAACTTAGAAAAGCTAGGCTCTAGAAAAAGCCCAAATGCCCACTCACAAATGAGTTCATTAAGGACATATGGGATAGCCTGGGCATAAAGGGACACGCTTGGAGTCCTAGTACTCTAGGAAGCTGAAGCAGGATGATCATGCATTCATGGTCAGCATGGGCAACACAATGATTGACGAGACTGTTTCAAAATAAAAGTAAAAAAGCACACGTATGCCTCTCATGCTAAAACCCTGGGTTCAGTTTCCAGGACTGAAAAACATGTGTGGTGTACACATAATGTTACAGTATTCTTCCAGAAAAGAATAAAGTGATGGCCCTCACTGAAATACGGATGGATGTAGAACCCATACTGTTTGATTAGGTCGGACAGAAATTTCAGTATCACAAGTTACATTTTCATGAGAATCTCACAACATGAATTTTTTTTTTTTTTTGGTCTTCTTGAGACAGGGTCTCGCTATGCAGTTCAGGCTGACCTTGCACTCACTTTTTAGCCCAGGCTGGCCTCGAACTTGCAACGATCGTCCTGCCTCAGTCTCCTGAGTGCTGGGGTTCCAGGCGTGCACCACCACGCCCGGCCACAACATGAATTAAGGAGTAGATAGAGGACACATGTGGTAAAGAGAGAGGCAGACACTCTGGCGTGGGTGAGGAGGCTCAGTGGAAGGGGAGGGATGCAGTCGTGGAGGAACAGGGATCAAAAATCATCAATACGTGGAACATGTCTCATCAAGATGTGTTCCAGTTCCTCAAAATGAAGCAAATCAGTTGATTACAAACTCCCAAGTCAGTCCCACTGTTTAGGTAAAAGCTGACTCCAAGCCATCATGCAGAGTGGGTGATTAAATATTCTTAGGGGCATCAAAGCAGATGTCCTCATGGTGATTCATTACTAAACAGACACTGTGAAATGTGACTGGTTGTTTCGTTTCTCTCCCCTTTTACAGAAGTGAAGAGGTGGAGCAATCCTGCAAATATAACTTACGGGATCAGCATGGAGAAATGGTTTCCCAGGCACCAGGTTGGCACATTCATGAATGGACTCACACTGGGGAGAAACCCTACATATGTAAGCAGTGTGGGAAAGCCTTCAACACACAACGTCACTGTCAAATCCATGAAAGAATTCACAATGGGGAGAGACCCTATGCATGTCAGCAGTGTGGGAAAGCTTTCAGCACACATTATAAGCGTCACATACATGAAAGAATTCATACTGGAGAAAAACCCTATGTGTGTCAGCAGTGTGGGAAAGCTTTCAGCACACATCATAAGTGTCAGATACATGAAAGAATTCACACCGGGGAGAAACCTTATGCATGTAAGCAATGTGGAAAGGCTTTCAGCACAAAAGACAGTTGTCGAAAACATGAAGGAACTCACAGTGGGGAGAAACCCTACGCATGTAGGCAGTGTGGAAAAGCTTTCAGAACAAGAGATATTTGTCAAACTCATGAACGGACTCACACTGGGGAGAAACCATATGTATGTACGCAATGTGGGAAAGCCTTCAGTAGCAGAGCAGGTTGGCACATACATGAACGGACTCACACTGGGGAGAAACCCTATGCATGTAAGCAATGTGGGAAAGCCTTTGCCACACATGGAGATTGTCTAATACACGTACGAATTCACACTGGGGAGAAACCTTACATATGTAAGCAGTGTGGGAAAGCTTTCACCACACGTCGCGCTTGTCAAAAGCATGAATGGATTCACACTGGGGGTCAACCATATGCATGTAAGCAATGTGGGAAAGCCTTCAGGAATAAAGAGAATTGCCGAACTCATGAATGGACTCACACTGGGGAGAAACCCTATGTATGTATGCAATGTGGGAAAGCTTTGAGCAGCAAAACAGGTTTGCAAATACATGAAGCGACTCACACTGGGAAGAAACCCTATGTATGTAAGCAGTGTGGGAAAGCCTTCAGTGCACGTAGTGGTTGTCAAAAGCACGAACGGACTCACACTGGGGAGAAACCCTATGTATGTACAGAGTGTGGAAAAGCTTTCAGCCGACAAGATAGTTGTCGAATACATGAAAGGACTCACACGGGGGAGAAACCATATACATGTAAGCAGTGTGGGAAAGCCTTCAGTACAAAGGCTGTTTGTCAAAATCATGAACGGACTCACACTGGGGAGAAGCCTTATACGTGTAAGGAATGTGGGAAATCTTTCAGTAGCAGAGGAGGTTGGCAAATGCACGAACGGACTCACACTGGGGAGAAACCGTATGTATGTATGCAATGTGGGAAAGCCTTCAGCAGCAAAGCAGGTTGGCAAATGCATGAACAGATTCACACTGGGGAGAAACCCTATGCATGTAAGCATTGTGGGAAAACCTTTGTCAGACACAGAGATTGTCAAAAGCATGTACGGACTCACACTGGGTAGAAACCCTGTGTATGTAAGAAATGCAGGAAAGCTTTCAGCACACACAGTGTTTGTCAAAAGCATGAAAGGACTCACTGAGCAAAAACATGTATGTAAAGCTTTCAGTGTGGGAAAGCTTTCAGCAGACAATATTGTTTTCAAGAACATGAAAGTACTCGCTGTGAAGAGAAACCCTGTGTATGTAAGGAATGTGGGGAAGCCATTGTCAGACATAGAGATTGCCAGATACATGTATGTATTCAGACTGGGGAGAAATCCTATGCATGTAAGCAGCGTGGAAAAGCTTTCAGCACAAGGACTGTTTGTGAAATGTATGAATGGACTCACACTGGGGAGAAACCCTATGCATGTAAGCAATGTGGGAAAGCCTTTTTCAGACACATTGGGAAACTCATGAATGGACTCACTCTGGGGGAAGGCCTAAGTATGTGATCAGTGCGGGAAAGGTTTTATCTCACATGATCATTGTCGAAGACATGAAGGATCGCACACTGTTGACATGCTGGGTATGAGAGCAGTGTGTGGGTGCATTCAGTACACAAATGCATTGTCAAATACAGGAAATGACACTTGAGAGCAAGTCCGTGGAAACAGGAAGGCTCTGTGCAGTGAGCAGTATGCACATTAAGGGAGAGTAAATAACTGAATGCATCGTGCAACTCAGACGTGAATCAGGCGGAGGTGAACTTTCCTTGTATAAAGAAGAGAATAAACCTCTTTCCATCCATCCAGGTATCATTATGTACAAGAAAGAATTCATAGTGAAGAGACCTTTAACCCATATGAGCAGTGTGGGAGTTTTATTTTTAACTCAAATACATGAAAGAACTCACATGCTAGGGACCATCCAGTATGGAAACCCTCAAGTTCTTCCACTCACCTTGAAATACATGGAAGAACTTGCAGTCAAAGGAAACCCTGCATAAATTATGTGAGAAAGTACTGTGTGGGGCAGTGGTAAGAGTGCTTTCCTAGCACGCACAAGGACCTGCGTTCAATCCCCAGTACCACCAAAAAATAAAAGCATACGAATTCATGCAGCTTAGTGTAAAAAGAGAACATGAAAAAATTTTTATATAGTCGTCAAACATGACATTGCGCACTGGGGATATTCATATTGATGTTCTGTGAAAACAGGTGTGCTCGTTTTGGTTTAATTCATGTGGGAAAATAACACTATTGTGAGAATCCATTAATACAAGGGTTATACACAAGTTAGCAGTCGCCCTGCATGCGAGAATGACTATTGTATCAGAACTCTGCACATACAGAGGTCTTATAAGTCACCAAATCCTTTGATCATTTCTTACACAGTTTAAACCTAAGAAGTGAGTTGTATAAAAATGATACCAATTATTTCTCCACAAAATACAAATTCAGAGGAAACATCCTAACATGTAAATATTGTAATATAGATCTCTGGATTAAATTATTTTAAGTTGTAAGAATGAATGTTGTAGGGATGACGATAGAGCTCAGTGGCACAGCACCTGCCTGCCAATCTCAGGGTCCTGAGTTTGATTCCCAGTAACAAAAACAAAAACATATATATATGTATGTAGCCAAGAGCAGTAGTGCGAGCCTGTAATCCCAGCACTCAGGTACCTGAGGCAGGAGTATCACTATGAGTTGCAGCCCAGCTTGGGCTGCATAGCGAAGCCCTATCTCAAACAAAATTAAAAAAAGAATAAATGTTGTGCTCACAAATTCTGTATCATCTTTTAAGCAGTAGCACAGGAGTTTAATATTGTGTCATAAAGTACAAAATAATTGTATTTATTTTGCACTACACTAGATCCAAAGGTGAAGTGACTTGTGTTTCTTACATGACAGTAGGTTCTGTATTTTGTAGGGTTTTTTTGTTGCCTTTTTTCCCCTTTTCTTTGTATTTTGTAATTATGGGTAACATGACTCCAAAACTGAGTTTTCCTTAATTATTTTTTCCACTAGCTTGTATTTAAAACTTTGCTACACATAGTCCATTATTCCAGCAAGTATTTTTAATTGGATGTCATATTTTATAGTTTTATTACTAGTAATTTCTGTACATGTGCTTAAGTGTCCATGTTTGCAAACAAAATGTAAATTAGCATATGTCATCTTTTTATTACTCTATGAAGATATCTATAAATATTCCAACATAATTACAGATTATATGCTGTGCATAATTTTCCCTGATTTTTTTCTTCATCAGAGCCATTAATATCCTGTGTTTACAATATTGATTGTTTTTTATCATTAAATTTTTCTTTTCATGCTCATACTGCATTGCTTTATTTGGAGTGTAATTACTTAATCCTCCACCCAAAAAATAACTTTTTGTGAGTCCCCGCTGCCAGAGACCAGTACAAGCATGTATTTTCTCAAGGAAGATATGATGCCTTCTAATTATTAACTTCTCCACCAGCTATGAATATTGACATGATTTGTCAGCAAGAACATTCTCAGGAATTTTTGACCATGTTGGTGTTTGTTTGGACAAGTTTCTATTCTTCATAATGAAGCAGTCTTTTTTTATATGCTGTGAATACCATTCGTGCTTTGAAATATATTTTCTTTAAACTGAAGATCAAAGCAGAGTACAAGTTAAGTAATTTTTCTAATTCATTTCTGTTTTATCAGCTTTAGAGAAAAACGTACACTCGTTTTTGTCCTCATCAGTAACTACCACTGTCTGAGGATTGCAGGAAGTGATGTCACTTCCAGTGCGTAAGACTTGAGCCCGCTGTCTGTGAGACCATCTGGCCTCCTTGCCTTATTTTGCGTTCTTATTTCCTAGTACTGCAGTGCTCTGTAAAATATCCTGCATTGTTCTGTCCTTAAGTAGCCACTCTGTTTACGTGGGGTTGCATTCTAAAATGCATGGTGAAAGCATGACTGACAAATACAGTCAGAACTCCTAGTACTGAGATCATTATACCCCCCCAGAACCTAAACTAATGATGTTTGCACAAAGGCAAATTTTGTCTTATGTATTTACTTATTTTGCTTTTTTGAGACAGGGTCTCACCGTCTAGCCGAGGCTGCCCTCAAACTCATGGCAATTGTCAGCTTTCTATGTGTGGGTATTACAAGCTTTCACCACCACACAAGGGAAAAATTGATGTGTATTTTATAATGAAATACTAAATGTCTCATGGTTCATGAACGATACTGTAGGAAGCAGCTGAAGCTGGAAACTCGTCTTGTGTGTTTGTGCAAGACAAGGCCAAAGTGCCTATCGCAGTCAAGCTACTTCAGTCTTGAGAAAAACAGCTTGCCCGAGTTTATTTCAGCCGTTAGTTGCTAGGCAACCCTGCGTCTCTCGACACCAGCCTTGTCCAAGTATAAATAAACACACCTACTGTTGTTCAGTTCTCCCATCAGGAGAGAGAGGCCCTCCACCTGGCCTCAGTTTTCTCTCTTGTCTATATTGTCCTCATCCCATTGCCATTTTCCCCAGAGCCATAGATAGCTGCACAGGTCGTGACGCTGTGTTTCACTGCAGGATGTGTGCCACGTGCATTTACATGCTTGGATGTGAGAGTGTATTTACTGCAGCTCACTCCCAGTTCTTATCATCACCAGAACATTGCACAGCGCATAATGCTAGTGCAGCCAGAGGGGAAGTAAAAATTGTTTCATCCGGAGCATATTTCTTCCCACCAGTTTAGCATCAAGAAAATCTTAGTGGAGCCACTGGTTTCTGTCGATTAGCCTACCACTCAAGCACAGGTGAGCTGCATGATTAAAACCGACCTGTAGGTGGGGAAAAGCAACCTGTACAACTCAGTGGAACATGTGTAAATATAAAATATCAAAAGCTGCAGCTGAATCTCAGCACAGTAGTATTAGGTAATCCCTGTTTTATCTGCCTGGCATTGTGGAACATGCCAACACTCAGACACATGTTGGCATGTGTGTGCTGTTCATGTCACAGACATGAATTCAAATGTGCTGCATATGATTAATGATTTTATGCATCACAGACACATTGAAGGCAACAATTCCAAAAGTTTCATGGGATGGATACACCAGGCTGGGTGAGCAGTGTACATCTGTCAGTGTCCACATCAGAAATGCAGAGTGTCCACATAAATAACCTAATCATGCACATGAAGATTCTGGAAAAACAAGGACACCCCAAACACAAAGCTTGTACATGGAAGGAAAGCGTAAAGATCAAAGCAGAAATTAATAAATTTGACAAAATGAAACCACAAAATCATCCAAATAAATGTTGAAAACGACTGACAAAATGCAACCTGTACTCATGATAAAAATTTTCGTGTGTGTGGAAAAGTATAGGAAGATCTTGTGTCCATCAGGCAGTACTCACTTATGAAAAAATATCAAATTACATGAGATGTGAAATAACTGAAAGCTTTTCATACAACTTAGGAGACAAGAATGTTCAAGATGGGAAGTTTTTAATATACTCCCCAACACCTTAACCCAGGCAGTCAGGGAAGAGAAAGGAAGAAAAGGGACGCATATAGCAAAGGAGGATGAGAAACAGTTGCGTGGGTAAAGAAAACATAATTACCCACAGTGCAACACTTCTCTAAAGAAGAATCAATTTAAGTCATTATAGCAACACGAATGCAGCAAAGACGAATACTAAAATATATCCGACAGGGTGGGGCAAAAGGCGGAGCGGTGACGGAAATCAAGTCAACCTCGAGATTCACAATCTAAGCCTGGAAAACCACCATTTGGAGAAGCATAAAAGAGAAGTAGATTCCTGTGAACCAGGAGGGATCTGACAGGAGAGCTAAAAGGCACCAAAACATTGAAGAAAGAACACAAAGCAGAGAAGAAAGAGGCCATCTGTGCTTGCCCTGTGGCTCGCAGCAGCTTAAGGCCTTGGTGGCTCAGGCCCCACAGAATCAAACTCAATGCAGGGGACGCCCAGCTACACAGGGAAATGCAATTGACCAGATCCGACCCGGCATTGCTGGGACCTGCAGGGAGAGGGTGCGACTGCTCCCGGTGGGTCTTTGCACAACAGCGGCTGCTGCATGACTCCAGTACAAGTGCCCACCTCAGGCCTGGAGGTGCTACTTGGTCAGGAACCATCCAGGGAAGGGTTGATATTTTGAATCCAGCACCCAGCATAGCCAATGGCTCCTCTCCAGGGCTCCCTTTATTACCCTCCTCCAGGAACTGGGTGACAGAGAACTGGACACAGCTGCGGTCAGACAGCAGGGTGGAAAGGGACCCTGAGAGGCATCTGAGCTAGGGGACGGAGCCCGCACTCCCACGGCCGCGTCCCAGGGGCAGCCTGACTCAGTGGACTGGAAAGTCCTGGCGGTGGCGTGGTGCCCCAGTGTCCGCTGGCCCGGCCTCAGGCACAGACGTGGTGCTGACCTTCTTCCTTGTCACCAGCACGAGCAGGGACATGTCTGAGCTACCACTAATGGTAGATACTGGAAGACACACACAAGAAAAATTACAAATTTCTCTCCCTCTGTCTCTCTCCCACACACATTTCTTCCAAGCAGGTGTGGTTTTCTTCTTACATTGCCCTTCCTCCCTAGTTTATGTTTTGGGGAGGGTTCTTTTGTCCTTACATGTATTTTCTGGGATTTTTCTTTATTTACATTTTCCTTTTCCCCATTTTGGTTTTTCTCCCTTCAATTTTTTGTCTCTTTTTATTCATCCTATAATTTAGTTTTTCTCCCTTTTTATCCTGCTTTTCAGAAGTGTTTCCTGTTAACTTTTACTCACCGTACACACATCCCTGTGGTGCCTTTGGAACTTTGACCTCACTTCTCTGTCATCCTCATATTGCCTACTTTAAGGTTTCAGAGTTTTCCTCTTGGGTTCTTTCTGTCCTAGGCCCCTGTATCTTTTATAAACCAGAAAGTTTTATTGGTTTTTTAGTAGTTCAGTCTACAAAATTAGGGTTGTACTTTCTGTACCATCAACAGAGATATAACTGTCAGTTTTAGTGCATTAGACCTGTGCATCAATACCTGGGTTGTTAATTGTGGATTTTTCTCTAGGGTTAATGGTGGTACATAAAAGGTTCCTATGGTATCTCAATACCATTTTGTCTTGAATGACACTTCAGGAACTGATTTGCTTAATGTTACTAGCAACACATAAAGGTTTCTACTACTGCATTTTGTCTGTAAGCCGACACCGTGATTACGTTTATGACATTAACAGTGCTACTAGGGGGGCTGGGGATTGAGCTCAGCGGCACAGCGCCTGCCTGGCAAGTGCAAGGTTGTGAGTTTGATTCCCGGTACTGGAAAAAAAAAAAACAACAAAACAAAACAAAACAAAAAAAGTGCTACTAGGATACATTTCCACAAAATTTGCTATTGGGCCAATTACCCTGAATCCTTACTGCCCAAATTAAGTGAGATTGTTGATCTTACCACAAAGGCAATGGAGTGTAGTTTGTTGCACTCCAAGTACATGAGTGAAAAGTGACTGACAGATACCTCCATACTAGCAACAAGCCATGTTCACCTTAAGCACCTGCTAACTCAGCATGAAAAACGTACCGACACACAAAGGCATTTCAAACAGAAGGTGAGAAAATGCATTCCA